TCATTTACAATAATACCTGAAAAATTCACATTTTGCTGCAGTGGCATTTTAGATTTTGATGCTGTAGTTTTATCTGTTTAATATTGATTATTAGAACTAAAGTCTATAAGGTGAGTTTTATCATCATTCATAACCAACCCATTCACCTGGAACCAGTCTCTGAGAGCTTGTACCTCCCTGTCCAGTGTGTGCCGCAGGGAGTCTATACTGGGTGCCATTCATAGCACCATTGTATCGTCTGCATACTGAAAGAGTTCCATATTTGAGACTTGAGCTAGGTCATTAACATAGATTATGAACATACTGGGGCCCAGTATCGACCCTTGAGACACACCACATAGTTTTATAAAAACAGTTTAGTTATTTTTTGTTAATTTAGTTCTCTGAAACCGGAAAGATAAGATGAAAATAAACTAATTTCTCTGCCTTTTTCTTTAATTTACCAATGAGGATGTCGTGATCAACGTAATCCGCAATCAAACGCCCTGGACAGATCACAGAGAACACCAGCTGCACTCTGAGATCCATCCAGAGCCCATGTGATGCAGTTAACCATTCTTAAGCAATATTGTTTGTTCAATTGGTTTTTATTATTATATTTTATTTTTTATTTTTTTAAATGCACAATCAGATTAGGTGTAAAAATTAGGCCGAGTATGTAATGTAACTAAGGCCAGCTTTTAGAACTTACAGGATTTTTCTTTAAATTTAGACTTCCAGTTAACACAATTCTTTCTCATAAGTCATGACCTAGATTGTTCTGGCCGTGAAGGTTGCAGTGTAATGATAGTGATCACTTACTAGGTCAAACTAATTCTAGTCACTGAATGGGAGAATCTGTGAACTGTATTTGACAAGTTTTAATTGCAAAGAAAATAATATATAAAATAGTGTTTGTACCTACCTAGAGTTGGTGGTGAATCCTAGGATATTTGTTCTCTTGCAATCTTTATTTTTGGTTTGATTAATAACGATTGAACCATTTATATGTTAAAATCTAATGGAAAATAAAGTTTTGGTAATCCAATTAAAAAATTTTGGTTCAGTAGAAAAATGTGATTTAACATAAACCAAAACCATATAACAAGGTAGGACAAATGTTTTATTGTTTGCGCTTTTATTAAAATTGGACTTTTAATGGATATTAATTCAGCAAGGTTTACCTACACTCCTTTTAGCGAATTTCCCTATAGGGAAGTAGCTATTACCGTAGGTCTCATGGTAAGACCTAAGCCCGGGACCGATTTACTTTTTCATTTTGATGTCCCCAGAGGCCAAAAACACCATTCGTTCATATTTTTATATATCTATATATAGAGATATATATATATATATATATGTGTGTGTCCATCCGCACGATAACTTGAGTAATTTTTGTCCGATTTCGATAAAATTTGGTTTGAAGGTGTAAGGCGGGATAAACTTGAATGAGTTCGCGAACCAGCATGATCGGACTATGGGAACGGGGGTTTATGGGGGGTTTTATGGGGTAAAAATAGGTTTTTCCCATTTTTGACCCTAAAAACACAAAATTTCACAATTTATTCCTAAACCATTTTGTAGAGCTTAAAAAACAAATAATTTAGTATATTGAAGCGTTATTATGCGCCTAATTGTAACGGAGAAAAATCAAAAAAATTGTAATTTTAAAATTCTCATGTAATTCTTATGGAGAATAAGTCAACTGTTGTAGTTTGCTTGTTTATGAACATATTTTGATCAAATTTGGAAAATACATTAATTTCTTACTAAACCACAGTACCTTTTAATATTTTACATTAAAAAAAACTTGTTTACCCTCCCTGTTGCAGCAAACCTAAGTACTCATTAAACTAATTCTGTTAAAATAGGGAATAAATGTGATATTTTTAAGGAGACATTTTAGTTTAAATCCAATCAAGCAGATGGAAATTCGCTAAGTCTGCAGGTTTGCTGCGCCGGGGGTATTCTATAATTTACTTCATACAGATCAAACGTTTTCCTTGTGACAGTATTTACCAATGGCCATAGTAAATACCACTATCACTTAAAAAAAAAACTTTGTTGGTATATTAGGTAGGGTGCCTATACAGATGTAAGAAACAGCAAGAATACTGTAGGTTTAAAATAATAGTCCTCAAAATTCATCACAATTTAGGTTGTTAACTCTCTGCCCACGAAGCTGTTTCTGAGTAAGCTTGTCATTGTTTACGCAGCGCCGTATCTCTCAGGTCGTACGGCCAGCACTACTGGCCATTGTAGTTTCTCTGTTAGGTTGGTCACCATTCTGCCAACCCAGCTACGCCAGCTTGTATCAAGTATTTTGTTTTTGTCAATTATGGTAAGGGCTAAGGTTTTACACATTGAAACTAAAAATAAATTCAAATAAGTCTAATATTTTTATATTTTACAAGCTGAACTTGGCAGACGTTGTCTTGCCTTTGCCTATTTATAATTTAAGTACCGTAACGTTTAATTGTCTTATTGTATATGAAGTGCTTATAACTAAATTAAAATGCGTACGACAACTAATGAAACACATATAGTACAAAGGATAACCGATTCTTTATTACTGCTCTTATATTAATGCTAATGGGTAGACAATATTTTTGGTCTTTCTATTCGGCTCAATCACGTCCTGGTTGAAGTTCGTTCGCTACGCTCACTCACCTTTAGGTTGGAGCTCGTTCGCTGCGCTCACTTGCCTTCAGGTTAGCTCGTTCGCTACGCTAACTCGCCTCCAGGTTGAAGTTCGTTCGCTATGCTCACTCACCTTTTGGTTACAAATTAGCTGTTGTCATAAATGTAAAAGAAATAATAGTGCTGCACCCTGTTGGTAATCCTTGTAACTTTAATGCTATTGAACGTCATAGAACAGAACCAACTTGTTTAATTGAAACAGCTGTTAAGATTCATTAATTCCATTTCTCATAAGGTTAACATGGAAAACTCCAGAGCCACTGGGGCGGAGCCGATTGGACGGATCACAAAATTGATGGTGTATAAACCTATTCCATGAAATTCTACACGTATGTACCAAGTTTCGTGGCAATCGGTTCAGCGGTGTCTGAGTTTATCACTGCCAAACATATATATATATATATACAAACTATTGAAAGCTGATGAAATAAGAAATAAAACTAAAATCAAAGTTTGCTGCTTAAGTTCATACATAATAAAATATTTAATTTTAAAAATTGTCAAAAGAACTACTGTTGCTATGGAAAGTATGTGCGACTCTTTCCCTAGGAAAGTAGGCCTTGAACTAGTTAATTTCTTGTATCATCAGATTAATCCGAAAACCTTTTCTAGTCATCCTACAGTTACACAATTAATAATATTTTATCCTTGTAAATGTTACCTCACATCACAGTTTCAGATGACAACACACTTGACAGTTGAGGTTATTTTACAGTGAAAATGGCGTAATACAGACCTGGAAACCTTATAAACTAAAATTTTAATATTCTGTGAATAGAGGAACTATCTCTGGTTTAGTGCTGCGCTGCAGCCTACGGGAGAATAAATAAACTATGTTAAAAAAAGTGTGTTGGATGGCCACCTATACTGGCCGGACGAGCTGACGTAGAAATTAGTAGTGGCTAGCAGTGCTGGCTGTACGACCTAGAGGCACTGCGCCGTGTAAACATGACAAGCTGATATAGAACGTAGCCGTGTCCAGCAGGGCTGGCCATTCGAGTTGAGAGGCACTTTTCTAAAATGGCTATGAAACCGCAAAGGGTTAAGTTAGGTTTGATGAAACAAGATGAAAAATCCTGTTTATTGCTCTGGAAGTCTATACTGGCTGTCGGCAAAGCACATAGACATCGCTAAAGCCACATTTACACGAGGCCATTAGGCAAGCAGATTACCTCTCAGCTACTGTTAAAGGTAGCTTAGGCAAAAAGAATGCTACCAGCATAGACTAACCAACACAAGTAGACTTCTCATCCCATTGTAAATTTTGAAGCACGTTTTTCGTGTCTAGTTCATGTACGTGAAACAAAGGCGCTAGTGTCGACGAAACTTTGTTTCTATTATTTTAGGGTTAATTTCTTGATTTGTGCTTTACTGTTTGGTTATATAACTAGGGGACAAGTTATTGTATATGTTTAGATCGTATTATTTGGTTAAACGAGGTTTTAAATGGCTGTAATAACGGGAAACAAATTGTAAACAAAACACGACCTCTACATAAACCGTACAGAACTAACAATAAAATTGTCTTCAGCTGTTCCATAAGGATGAGAAATTTACTAAGGGAGTATGTTTTATCTATGCTACCAGCTAGGTAAAACAAATTGTTATAAAGTATCTGTATTTAAAATTTTAATTTTTTAACACCTGAAAAGTAGTAAATAAAAGTATAGACAAGTTTTAGGCAGAATCACTGGGGTAGCGAGTGAAGTCTAAGGTCCTTTCAAGGTCAAAAGGATCACTTGACAGCAGGTAATTTCACCAGTACACGTTTTGATCAGTGATTCGGAGGCTTAACTCAAACAAAATGAAGTCTAAGCTTTAGTCGCACAGTTGACAGGGTAAAAAATAATGGAAAACGAAATCTCAACTTAAGAAGTTCCACTTGTGATCATACAAGGCTATTTGTTGTTAAATGAATACAATTCTGAATATTGATTCTGAAATAAATGGTCGCATGATAAGACAACAATTAACAAGGAGATAATAAAGTATAACTAATTAAATTTTGTTAAGCTGTTTAACAATTTATATGGTAAAGTAAAAGATATTGACACTAAACATGATGTCTGCCAGGCATCAACTATTGCTTTTTAAGGAATATAAATCATTACAAACAATACAAACCCAATAGTTGCAAAAAACAATAACCTACTCAAATCCTATCCTCAAATCCTTTTTTCCATTCCTACACAACCAAGTACAATCTAGGATTAAAAGCTTTTCAGTGGTCAACTGAAAGAAATGTTTAAACAAAATTCAAAATATTTTTAGTACTTGTATTTACATATATAAAATGTGTTAACTTGAAATAAAACAAATACTTCAACGGTTGGATGCAACGTTTATTGTATAAAAAGACAATGCTGATCAAGAAGTTATTCATAAAAAGATTATCCATCAAAACCCTAGTCTAGCCTAGGCTACACTTTTTAATCTATACAAGGTGGATGACATGAGTTGGAAGGCAGACTTGAGTAGCAAACAAGTAGCTGGCTGCTGGCAGTCTTACTTATTGTAAGGCAATATTCAGACTTCTGAGATTTTGCTTTTACTTGGCCCCCGTACATACGTATGACTTATGCTGTGTGCTGCTAACGACACAACGTTGTGAAAATTCAGTTGTATAAATGTGTTTACGGAGGTACCTGTTCTGACAGTGTCATGTGATTCCAAGCAAATACCTCACTTCAAGCTGTACAAGGCACTATGAATACTATGGACAAAACCGCATGACACTTTAATATCGTTAGCACCATAATATCGTGTCAAAACATACATATTTTGATATGGTAATAAAGAATTGTTGGGTGATCAAAAATTAATTTATCTTCCTGAGTTGTGTCGTCCATGGAGCAAAGTCAATATGTGTGAACGTAGGCTTAGTCTGTAAACTTATACCTAAGCCTAACCTAATCTACTATACACATTCACTGCTTATACACAAATAACACATGAACAAGCTACAAATTCCTAAATAGTGTTAACAGAATAATCACAGAGAGCAAAATAATACATACATAAATACAATACGTCCCGTAAACTGTGATGACAATGTCAGGGTTTTCTTAAAAACTTATCATAATTTAAGAAGTATAGTTTACCTCACATAAATGCTCAATAATTTCACTGTCACAGTGTTTTCTATCAACATCAAATAGTAACACTCTAAAAACCATACTCTTCAATGTTAAATTGTGTGTTACAGATTAATAAAAATAAACATCACTCAATGACTAGTCCTATACTTTCACTTGTTACTGATTGTTTTACCTGTTTAACAATTAATCCTTCTGAATAAAAATTTAATCAAAATAACATCATTAACAAAATAAATGTAAGCAAAATAAAAGCTTATTCTCAATAGGATGAAATCTATGTTGCTCAACAACACAAAATAAACTTATTCAAAAGGCCGTAACAGTAGGGAAAATGCAGCAAAGCCATGGCGGTGGGGGAAGTAACATAAAAATTAAATACAATACAAAAATCAATTCTGTACAACTTAAAAATATACTTAAATAAAAATGAATTCACAAAATTTCATCTTCACAGCTATGTACAACTCTGGACCAACTAGTATGCCTGCAACATAAAAGAGAAAAACTAAAAGTTAAAATCAATATGTATTAAAATCCTATATATAGATACTAGAACTAGAGTCAATGATGATTCGATGTTTATTGCTGAAGGCATGTTTATTTTTTATCAAGCCTAAAATGAAGTGCTCTATTTTTTGTGTTTTACTTCAGTAGTTACTACTGGAATATGTAGTAATGTAATGGTTTCCTGCTAATCTTCCTCCCTTGTCTACAACAGTTAACTTGCTCCACTCTTTATCTTCTTAGAGCAACATATGAGTTTGTCTTGAGGTGTACTGGTAAAAATTGTTAAGGTTATGAAGGTTTAAGCATTGATTTAAGGCCTGATGTCACTGCCAAAACAATGTTTGCTCTGTAGTTTTGAATTCTCTATGCATGTTTAAACATACAATTGAATTCAAAATGTAACAATCTAGTGGGTCTGACTTAGGGGAGGTACGAATGAGGCATTAGTTCAAAATTCCTCCGTGAACAGCGCTGTAGTAGAGAGTACTTTGGCAAAGAAGGTTTACTAATCACAAAAATAGTTCTGTTCATAAAATAAAATTATAAATGCCTCAAATTCAATTTTATTATTTTTTAATTATAAAATTAAACTATCATAACCTAACCAAACTAACCAAACTTGCTGATAATGAAATAATATAACAAAAGTTTATTAATAGAAAAAATAATTCTGTTTATTAAATAAAACTAGAAATTGCTCTACTAAAATTGTATAATGACTTAATAATAAAATTAAACTGTCATAACCGAACCAAACCAACCAAACTTGCTGATAATAAAAAAATCTTGGACAAAAAGTTAATGCCACGAGCGGGATTTGAACCCGGGACCTTCAGCATATCAGCCCGGCACGCTAACCATTAGACCACCGAGGCCGATGACTACCGATCGTTTTGTTACGGCAATGGCGTTCCCTCAGCTAATAAGAAGCCCACAGCTGTCATCGTAGCCTCTTCTATACCTCCCCTGAGTAAATACCCAATCTAGTGAGGTCTGAATTTTTCAATCAAAGAAATACAGTACTAATAGGTGGTGTTACATATGTTTTATCATGTTTTATTTACATTTTATTTCTAACATGTGTTCAAATTAGGTACTATTTTGTTTAACTTACTTGTTGAATTGTTTATGTTTACTTACAGATTGTGATTTAATAAATGCTAACTTTCTATTTTCTTATACAAAATGTGAACTTTTATTAGTAAAATTAGTGGAATCAACAATGACGACGAGTAAAATGGTAAGTAGAAAAGAATTTGACCTATGTCTAAAGAAAAGGAAACTACTAGAACTACGCTTGAACAAACTCAAGGATGATTTACCTACATGTGAACATTCTCAAGATACATGCACTTACTACTCAGATAAACTTTTAGCAATATGGACTGAAATTGAAGTTACACAGTCAAATATTGAACTTCACACAGATTTAGTAGAAAGTGAATTAGAAATTCGATGGCAGTTAGAAGAAATATATAGAGAGATGCGAATATTCCTTGAAGCAGAAAAAAAAAAGTAACATTACAAAAAAGAAAAGTACATTACACATGCAGCAATGTCTGCTTCTGCAAAATCTCAAAATGTATCTAATATTCCTTTCCAGCCGTATACACCAGAAGAAAGTTTTCAAAACTTCACTTGACGCTTTGAAAACTACACAAAATTACGGGGAAACTTAAGTCCAAAAGTCAAAGTGGATTTATTTTTACAGGCAATCACCCCACAAATACATGAACAGCTATACGATCTTTGCATACCAGATGACCCACATAACAAGCCATATGAGGAATTGATTCACATGTTAATGGCTCAACTAGAACCAAAACCCAGTATTTGGGCTCGTCAGCACAAATTTACGACACGTATCCAATTATGTAATGAATCTGTACAAGCTTACGCTAATGCTCTTAGAAAGCTCAGTGTAGAATGTCAGTTAACTTGTACAAGTTGTAATGAATCCGTGTCTGAAATTCTACTTCGAATGCAGTTTGTCAGGGGACTAAAAGACTCTGATATACGTCTTCAACTTCTTCAAGATAAACTATTGCAACCGTTTAAAGAAGTAGTCGAAAAGGCTGCTACATTGGAACTAGCTAAAAGTGAGAGCAGAATACTAAAGACAAATGAAAATCAAGAGGAAGTACACCAAGTATCGAGCAAGAACAAACAACCAGATAGTAAGTCAAGTAAACAACTCTCTGGGTATCAATCTCGTTTGGAGAAACTGAGGAACAAATGCTATAGATGTGGTGATGATTCACATAGAGCACATCAATGTAAGTTCAAAAATGTAGAATGCAACTCTTGTAAACGTTTTGATCACTTAGCAAGAGTATGTCTAAGAAAACCAAACAAAGAAGTAAAACAATCTGATGAAACCGCAGAAAATACAAGCGATGACACTAATGAAATTTACCAAGTTAATTCAAAATCAAATGACAAGTTTATGCTCGAGGTAAAAGTGGAAGGACGACTCATGACAATGGAATTGGATACAGGAGCGGCTCTTAGCATTGTATCATATGATACATTTAGGCTTTTAAACTCTCCAAAAAGGATTTTCAAGACAAATGTTCAACTCAAGACATACACTGGGGAAATAATCAATCCAAGAGGAGTTGTTTTTGTAAATGTTCAGTATAAAGATCAAAGTTTTGTTGGAAAACTGTACATTGTTAACAAGTGTGTAGACTCTGTATTCGGAAGAGAATGGATAAGAGAGATTCAACTTGATGCAGCTGACATACATTCATTGAATTCAAGTGAAGAAAACGAAAACATTCAAGAGCTAGATGATTTGATGATTTGGTATGAAGACATTTTCAAAGAAGGCATTGGGAAAATACCAAACGAAAAGGGCCATTTTAATGTCAAAGACGAAACCCAGCCAATTTACATCAAACTGAGACACATGCCATATGCATTACAAGAAAAAGTAGAGAAGGAACTTGAAAGACTGGAGACTTTGGGTATAATCACACGTGTCGAATCATCCGATTGGGGGACACCCATTGTACCGGTTGTCAAACCCAATGGTTCAGTCAGAATATGTGCTGACTACAAGGTGACTTTGAACAAAGTTATTAAAGACGAACATTACCCTATACCTCGGATCGATGATATCATGTCAAAGATGCATTGTGGAAAGATATTTTGTACTCTTGATATCAGCAACGCATACTTGCACATGGAGATGGACAAAGACAGTGCCATCATGCAAACAATCAGTACTCATAAAGGGCTGTTTAAAGTGAACAGATTAATGTTTGGAGTAAAAGTGGCACCCTTGTTATGGCAAAGATTCATGGACAAAACATTACATAACTTAGAAGGCGTACAATGTTTCTTTGACGACGTAATTGTACAAGGATTTAACAGGGAACAGCTTCTTCGCCGACTGGAGCAGGTGTTTGAACGACTGAAGTTAAATGATTTGAGGCTAAATAGGGAAAAGTGTATGTTTTTCCAGACCAAAATTGAGTACTTAGGTCATGTGATCGATAGCAAAGGACTACACAAGTCAGATGCTAAAATACAGAGCATTTTAAAATGTAAAAGACCAGAGAACGTAACTGAACTCCGAACTTTCCTAGGCCTTGCGAATTATTACAACAAATTCATAAAGAATTTGGCTACACTACTACATCCTTTGAATCAGCTGCTACGAAAAGGAAACACTTTTAAATGGAGCTCTGCTTGTGAACAGAGTTTTCTGAAGATTAAGGAAATGATTACAAGTGACGACGTATTTTTGCACTTTGATCCTAGCTTACCTCTGGTCTTGACTACTGATGCTTCGCCGGTAGGTGTGGGAGCCGTTCTTTCACACCGCTATAGGGATGGAACAGACAGGCCAATTGCCTTCGCCTCTCGATCCTTGTCAAAATCTGAACAAAAATACTCTCAAATCGATAAGGAAGCCTTGGGTATATATTGGGGCCTGAAAAGGTTTTTTTCCGTTTTGTTATGGCCGCAAATTTACTTTGATCACAGATCACAAACCCGTAGTGTCAATTTTTAATCCAGAAAAGACCTTGCCAACAATCTTGGCAACACGGATATTCAACTATGCTCACTTTCTCTCCGGGTTCGACTATGACATAAGAGTACAGGCAAACCGCTCTTCATTGCAATGCAGATTATCTTTCACGTTTCCCTATCGAAGTTGTTCAAGAACATTCTGTAGATGACCTCTCGAAGTACCACATAAATCAACTGGAAACACTCAATATCAACAGTACCGTGGTGGCTAAGGAAACTCTCAACGATGCTGTTTTGGGTCCAGTCCTACAGGCCTTAAAATCGGGACAATCTGTTGAACAATGGGAGACGGACAGCGTCCCAGATCTTTGTTTGGATTAATCCCCTGATTTATGGCCTGAGGGTAGTGGTCACCGGAGGAGGGGTGGGGAATCGAGAATTCTGAATCCCACCGGAGGCGTTAACTTTTTGTCAAAGATTTCGCTTAGATTGCGATTACTTCTTAACTGTACATCTTTTGTTAGAATTTAAGGCGTTTATAATTTTATGATCAGAAATATTTTTCGATTAGTAAACCTTTGTACGATTTTTTCATTATCAGCAAGTTTGGTTGGTTTGGTTAGGTTATGACAGTTTAAATTTACAATTTAAAAATTATAAAAATGAATTTTAGGCATTTGTAATTTTATTTGATGAACAGAACCATTTTTTTTATTAAACCTTCATTCGATTTTTAATTATCAGCAAGTTTGGTTAGGTTATGAGAGTTAAATTGAATTTAAATTTAACCTGCAAACGATACGTTTTGACAGCGACAGTAATAGAGCTAACAATTTGAAGCGAACAGTTCGGCTATGCACGGTATGATGCGGAAGCATCCGACACCAACCTAGAACTGACAGGTCAACCGACCGTGATTAAGAGGATTAAGCCTGGTGCATGTGCCTACACCCGTTGAACAATACGGATTTCACGATAACGAGCTGTCCATTCAAGATGATTGTGTACTGAAGGGCTGGAGAGTCATGATACCTCAATCCCTCAGACCTCATGTGCTTCGAGAACTACACGTAGCTCATTAGGAGGAATAAAAATGAAGGCTTTAGCTCGCAGTTTTTGCTGGTGGAAATGTATAGACAAGGATATTGAAGAGATGGTAGCTGAATGTCGACAATGCATTGAAAAATGCAACAACCCGAGAAAAACTATCCATCCATGGGAACAACCTTCTAATCCATGGGAGAGGGTGCACATTGATTTCTTAGGACCAACAGATGGCCAACAGTACCTGATATTAGTGGATGCCTTTAGTAAGTGGGTGGAGGTAATACAGACAAAAACAACTACAAGTACATGGACAGCCCAAGAATTACGGAAAATCTTCTCAACTTTTGGGTTTCCTCACATCTTAGTTTCAGATAATGGAAGACAGTTTGTTTCTCAAGAGTTCAAAAACTTCATGAATGAATGTGGAATTATTCACACATACCACCATATGCACCATACCATCCAAACTCAAACGGCCAGGCTGAAAGATACTTACAGACTGTCAAGAAGGCGTTAAAATCCATTGAGGGAGAAAAGGGTACACTGCAAAATAAAATACAAAGACTCTTAATGCAACTCAGGCAATCCCCGAATTCAACTGGTACATCAGCATACCACCTAATGTTTGGAAGGAGTGTACGAACAAACCTTGCAATAATTGTTCCAACATTAGAACCGAACAAATATCAGAAGAAGGGAGTCCAAGTCGGTATAGAAAGGAATTTCAAAGTTGGAGATAAAGTGCAAGCGCAGAAATATGTCAATGGTTCGTCCAAGTGGTATTCGGGCTATATAACTAAAAAGCAAGGACATGTAATGTACGTAGTTCAGCTAGAAGATGGACGAATAATAAGAAGACATGTTGACCAGCTGATTCTTCGTAAAGTGCAGCAGCACAGTAATTAGAGGAGGAGGTGTTACATATGTTTTATTTACATTTTATTTCTAACATGTGTTCAAATTAGGTACTATTTTGTTTACTTGTTGAATTGTTTATGTTTACTTATAGATTGTGATTTAATAAATGCTAACTTTCTATTTTCTTATACAAAATGTGAACTTTTATTAGTAAAATTAGTGGAATCAACAGGTGGATTAATTTTATATAGATGTTCTATTAAACTTTTATACAACTTTTGAAAATAGTACATTTTATAATAAGAGTAGAAAGTGAGTCATTATATTATTTTGAGACCATGTTTAAGTGCAAGATTTATCGAACACTTTAAATGGTCGAGAATATTTATAGACCCACTTTCACTCGTCAATAATTATTTTCTTCATTACAAAACTCATCGAATTTTTTTTAGGTTATGACTTCAATGTTAATATTTAATTTAGTTGTTGAAAATTGTAACAGTTGATAAAACAATAACAAATATTTAAAGTTGTTGACAGTGGAAAATCTTTGGTTGTAAACAATACTACTTTCGGTAATAAACAATAGACAGCTGTTAAAAATATGATGTTTCGCAGGTTGTAAACACATGAACGAAAACAGCTCAACTCATAGTAGTGTAGTGAAAATGTATGTACAGTAGAACTCCAATTATCCGAACTCCAATTAACCGAATCTCCGATTATCCGAATTGCTTACTTCAACAGTTTTAAAAACGTAAAGCTACAGTAAAAAGTTTTGCAAAATATCAAAGAATTGTTATTAAACACATTTAGCCAGTGTTTAATTTTGGACTTTGATCGAACACTATTAAAACTTAATAACGTGTAACGTGTATAGAACACTTGTACTATGAGCATTGCACACTGTAAAAATGTTCTGATTTCATTTATTATTGGGTAATTAAAAGTTTATTTAGTACCGAAAATGAGGATTTTTCTTTAATACTCCTGGAATTCTGGTAAAACTCCGATTATCCGAATTTTTGATTATCCGAATGGGGTCTGGTCCCTATTGATTCGGATAATAGGAGTTCTACTGTATACTGTCTCCACCCAATATACGTCTGAGTTATAAATATCAGATACTAACTGTTTCAATTTATTAAACCTTTGCGGTCGAATGGCGAGTATAGGTCGCCGCCCGCCATTTTCCCGACTGCTCAAAAATGACAACCTATAAAAAAAAAAGTTTATTTTTGCAGTTGAATGGTGAGTATAGGTCACCAGGCGCTATTTTCCCAACTGCTCTAATGGCAAACTATACGGGTGAGGTTCATAAGGTCCAAATTTCACAAAGTCCAATGGTTGAAATATTAATAAACATAGCGTTTCACAAGGTTTAAATTTCACAAGGTCCAACGGTTAAATTATTAATAAACAGAGCGTTTCACAAGGTCCAAATTTCACAAAGTCCAACGTTAAAATATCAAATGAACAGAGCGTTTCACAAGGTCCAAATTTCATAAGGTCCAAAACTATGACATTCAAACAATCGCCGTTTCACAATGTCCAAATTTCACAAAGTCCAATGTTAAAATATCAAATAAACATAGCGTTTCACAAGGTCCAACGGTACAGTCTCGGCCAGAAGTCGCTGCAGAGGTTGCCGTGGTTCGGTATGTAGGCACTACACTACCTAGTGTTGTTGCCACGCGACACAAAACATCATTGTGGGTCTGTAGATACGTTGTAAAGAGTGTAAAGTAGTGGTATTCACCCCCTCCGCAGCAAACCTGCAGACTAATCGATTTTCCATTTCCCTTATTTGATTTACACTAGAATATCTCCTTAAAATTATCACATTTATTCCCTATTTAAATAGCATTAGTTTAACAAGTACCGTACTTAGGTTTGCTGCAACAGGGAGTAATCAGTAATCAGTAGTTGAGCGCCGGCGGACGGTGCCTGCTATCTGACCGTGGCAACCACTGTAGAGACTTCTGGCCCAGACTGTACCGTTGGACCTTGTGAAATTTGGACCTTGTGAAACGCTCTGTTTATTTGATATTTTAACGTTGGGCTTTGTGAAATTTGGACATTATGAAACAGTGGTTATTTGAATATTATAGTTTTGGACTTTATGAAATTTGGACCTTGTGAAACGCTCTGTTTATTTGATTTTTTTAACATTGGACTTTGTGAAATTTGTACATTGTGAAACGGTGATTATTTCAATGTTATAGTTTTGGACTTTATGAAATTTGGACCTTGTGAAACGTTCTGTTTATTTAATATTAAAAAAAAAAAAAAACAGTGCTGCACCCTGTTGGTAATCCTTGTAACTTTTATGCCATTGCACATCATAGTACAGAACCAACTTGTTTAATTGAAACAGCTGTTAAGATTCATTAATTCCATTTAAATATGAGTACTCATAAGGTTAACACGGGAAACTCCAGAGCCACTGGGGCGGAGCCCGAGAGTCCGATCAGAATAAAAACAACTTAGTTTTCCTATTTAATGCCTAAAGAATCAGTGTACCAAATTTCAGCCTCCTAGGTAAATGGGAAGTGGGAGAATTAGTGATGAGTGAGTGAGTGAGTCAGTCAGTGAGGGCTTTGCCTTTTATATATATAGATTTTAACCGTTGGACTTTGTGAAAAAGTATGAAACGCTCCCGAACTATACTCGGCGTTCAACCTCAAAGGGTTAACCCATTTTTTTTTTATATAAGTAAAGAATTAAAATGTGCCCATATAAGTATACCAGACGTGCGTTGAAATGAGAATAAGGTACCGTAGGTGCTCTGTTGGTCAAGAATCTTATGATTTCAATGGTGGCTCAGGATATTTTAGCATTTAATAATGAAGGCTGTCCGTAAATTAAGATCTCCACTAGCAAGCTGGTTCAAATCTGAGCCCTTCATCCTTGATGATTATTTTCGGTTCCCACCCCTATGTGGTGTAGACTCATTGTTGTACTATCCAAAAACGGTGTGAAGGAAAATCTATGCTCCTGTCAAGTATGAACCGTGTTCAGTAATTATATTTCTTTTGTCTACAGCATGCAACTATTAAAGTCCATTGAACATGAATGAAGTAGATGGAGACCTCGATTTATAGACAACCCTTAAATATCTTCACTCTCTTGTTCTAATGCTCACTTTGAGAGTGGTGAAGGAGGTTTCGTAGCCACCCTTGCTCTGCATCTGACTCTGGATGGCTCGCAATCTGCTGTTGCCAACCTCAACGTCTCCAGAGCCGATGTGCCCCGTGTGTTGGAAGTTGGTTGGTTCTCCAATCATTGACCTGTCGATCCTCCGCCTCTGCTGTCTTTTTCTCTGCAATCAGTTAAATAGCTTTCACACACTTGTTTGAATATTCAAAGCTGAAATAAAATTACCCTTAATGTGAATGCAAACTGATACCGTAGACTTACCAACACAAGTAGACTTCTCATTCCATTGAAAAATTGTGAAGCTTGTTTTTCATGTCTAGTTCATATACGGTGACACTGGGCGCTAGTGTCGACAAAATTTTGTTTCTATTATTTTAGGGTTAATTTCTTGATTAGTGCTTTACTGTTTGGTTATATAACTAGGGGACGATTTATTGTTTATGATTAGATCATATTATTTGGTTAAACAAGATTTTAAAAGACAGAAATAACTAGAAAAAAATTGTAAACAAAACACAACCTCTGCAGTACACCGTACAGAACTAACAAGTTAATTCTCTTATGCTGATACCTTACGCCATCGATTTACGGATACTAAATAGACATGCCATCTATATGAACCAGCTGCAGGCTATTTTTTATTCAAAATGAACATAGTTCACTCGTCACTCACAGAATACGCTACAGTATTTATACAGTATATTTTCTCTCCTAAATTTTATGAGATAGTTGATGTAACATAAAAGATGGTGTAGGTTACATTAAGTTGTTCTACAAAATTGACTAGATTTATATAAATGGTTGTATTCAAAATAAATCAGTAATTTTGATTGTAGCGATTCGCTACAAGACACAAGTGCAACACGTAAGGCCACGTGGACGCAACTAGACTAGGTACGCGCACAGCCAAAAGATTCAACCGCGCAAACAGACGACGGAGAACAGTGTAGTGTGTGGCGCCAGCAGAAAATAATCCTATTGGATGAGTACCATTAGAATGAGTAGATAATATAGTAGGGGTTGACGAAAGGGTGTATGCTAGGGCAATGAATTAGTAATTAATTATGTAATTTATTAGGTTTACCAAATGGTTGTGGTCTGGTGATCAATGTTCCAAATTTATGCATTTAATATTTGAATTCACATTAGCTACATCTATTTACAATTACGTATGAGAAAAAGGTCCATTCTCACAATTATTTCTCTGTTCACTATATATTAAATAGATACACTCTACAGTGGCTTAATTCAACCAGGTCCATTGTATTTCTTAACCTGGTAATGACTTTGACACGGAGATGGAATTTCTAGTTCTATCTATCGTCCAAGCTAACGCTTAATACAAATTTACAATTACTACAAAATTGAAGGAGATATTCCTTAATAAGGACTAAACTAAAACAAATTATAATTTTTACCAAGCTGTTTCACATGAACAATCACAAGAATAATTGGCACAAAGACAAACAGTTGATTAAACTTGAAACTTGAAAGCAGATTGAACTACTGTGCATCATCCAACAACTGTATTAAAAAATTATTTTTGTCATATTGCAGCAAAAACAGCCGTTTTTAAATGCCTGCATTACAGGTCTAAAGTAGGATTTTTACTCCTTGGGGAGTAACTCAGTTATAAATTTGAATTGTAAACAATCGCATGTATCAAAAGTATGTATCGATTATTTAATCGATTGTAGTTTATTGTTGCCCTATTGTAAATGATTTGACTATCGATAGTATAATGTAAACTAACAAAGTCGTAATAGACAAAACAATCGAATCACTTACTTACTAATCAGCTACTTGTTTCCATTAGCAAATTAAATTGAACACACTTGGTAGAAGTAGTTTTGAGAGATTACTTTTAATGAAAACTATTTGGTTTTGTAACATAGTTTGTTCAAATAATGGTGCAATATGAAAATATAGTTCATCACACAGGCAAAAAGTGTCTTTTCAACCCTTGCTCATTTTCCAGCCTCAACTTCGCTTCAATCGTAAAACTTAACTGAAGCTACTAGGTGCAATTGAAAGTTGGTTTGTATTTGTATTTACAGACCAAACAAAAAATATCTTAAGGAATTTTTAAATATTTTGTTTGAATGTTTAATGTTAGTAAATAAGCTTAATGTTGATATTATTCTATGTGGTGATTTTAATGTGGATTTCCTTGATATTGACTGTAATCAACGAAAAGAAGTAACTAATACATTTAATGCTTTTAATCTACATTTGGTTACATTAGAAATCACTAGGCCTAATATGAGAAAAGGTAAAATTGTCAAACTTGGAACTTGTATTGATAACATTGCAACCAACATTCACAGAGATAACAGGACTGGTTGTGTTGTTCCCACCCTTGTATCAGATCACTATGCAATTATGTTATCTACTAGATTACATTCCAGGTGTATGAATGGGCAAAATAGTTTTAAGATCTCACGGCCCATTAATAAAATGAGTGGTGTTTTATTATGTTCAAATTTAAGTAAAGTAAATTGGCTTAGTGTTTATTCATTAGAAACATTAAATGAGAAATTTGACCTGTTTTTGAGTATTTTTTTAAAGTGTTTTAGATTTTACAATGCCAATCAAATTGGTAGCAGATAAGAGTAGTGAGGATAAATATGACAACCGTTGGTATACAAATGAATTGCAGTGTTTGAAACAAAAATGTATTGAGTTTTTGGATGAATTTAAAATGACAGGTAATAAAACATGCAAAGAGGAATATAAGATAACTAAAAGAACATACAGAAAACTTATTAAAGAAGCAAAAGTAAATTATACTCAAACAAAATATCTACAGCAAAGAATAAGTCGAAAGAAATGTGGAGTATAATAAATAAAAAAGTTAGTGTCAATAGAAAAAGCAAAAGTAAAAATTCTCTCGACCCTCAATCTTTAAATAACCATTTCTTAGACTCTGTAAACAATTTGATTAATAATTTATCTACATCGAACAAATCTTCTGAGGTCTATATTAATGTGTTGAGGGGTATGGACACAATGACAGATATTAGTTTTAAATTAAAACCATTTTCTGTTGAACAGGTATTTGAGAAAATTAATAGGCTAAGTAGTAGTAGATGTCTAGATGTTTATGGATTAAACTCAGATATTATGAAAATGGCTGCAGTGTATGTAGTTGAAGTACTAACTTATTTATTTAATCTTTGTATTGTTGAGGGTATATATCCTGATTGTTTAAAATGTGTTAAAGTAATTCCTGTACATAAAACCGGTGATAGATTAGATTTAAATAACTATAGACCCATCAGTATTATTCCTGTTATTAGTAAAGTTTTTGAAAGTTTGATAAATGACCAAGTTGTATCGTATTTTGAAGGAAATGATCTATTTAATTTTAGTCAATTTGGTTTTAGAGCAAATAGAGGAACTAAAGATGCAGTTCAGAATCTAATTTCTTATTGTTTAGATGAGTTAGAAATGCAAAATAATGTATCGTTGAAATTTTATGATATGAAAAAAGCTTTTGACACTGTGTCCCATGATCTACTACTACAAAAACTTGCCTTTTATAAGTTTGAAGAAAATATTTTAAAATTTTTTGAATCATATCTGTATAAAAGATATCAAAGTGTTTATTGCAATGGTGTTTTTTCTGATTATAAAGAGGTGTTACGTGGTGTCCCACAGGGCTCAATTTTGGGCCCAGTATGCTTTATCATTATGCATCAGCATTAATGATTTGCCTAAAAATATTCTAAACCTCAATGTTAAGCCTTATCTTTTTGCAGATGATTTAGCAATACAAATTCAAAGTGAGAATTTGCTAAATTCAACAGTAATGGCATACAAAGCAGATAGCTTAATCGAAGACTGGTGTAAGGCCAATAAATTGTTTTTAAATGTAGAAAAAACTCAAGATTTATGTATTAGTTTTAATAATAGGCATAATAAAAATTGTGTAAAATTTTTAGGTGTTTTTATAGAATCTAACTTAAAGTGGAAAGTTCATATTGATTATACAGCTAAAAAACTTAACAAAGGAATATTTATAATAAACATGCTTAAGAACAGTGTAGATTTTAATACCTTGAAATGCATTTACTATGCACATATACATTCCCATCTAAGTTATGGAACAATTGTATGGGGAGGTAGTAATTATTAAAAAAAACTTTTGTCATTGCAAAAACGAGCAATAAAAATCATGTACAATGTTGATTTTAGAACACACTGTAAACCATTATTTAGGGAGGCTAATATTTTAACTTTACAAGCAATGTATATTTTAGACTGCCTTGTGTTTGCAAAAAATAGTTTTAGTAAAACAGACACACATGAAAATGTACACAGTTACAACACACGAAACCGCTGCAATTTTATATCTAGACAGTGTCGATACAGCACCACAGCTACTAGTTTTATTGAAAAATCCAAACAGTATTATAATATGTTACCTAATAGAATAAGATGTTTTAATTGTTTTAAATTTAAAATAGTACTTAAAAACTACCTGTTAAACCTGTGTCCATATAGAGAAATAGACTTTATAAACGATGTTAAATTAAACCTTAGTTAAAACCTTTAGTTCTAAGATATTTCCTTGACTGTGCCATGCATGTAAACCAGTGTAATGGCAATAAAGCATTCTTATTCTTATTCTTATTCTAACATCGGGTCAAAAAGAGCAATTTTAGGCCCTAGTGATGAAATATACTATTTGTATACCTTTTCAATGCCTACAAATTTCAAACTTTTTTTTGTGTGATTGATACTGTAATATCAAATAGGTACTGAAAGAGTTTTTAATTCAGGTAATGTATGGAATATTTTGACATTGGACATATAATAATGAACTAAACAGTTTTATTTCTATTAAAAGAATGAATTGAGATTACTTTTTTTACTCCCTTGTTTTTACTTGGATAGACAGCATGACATTTTTCCAAAGAGAGTTGATGTAAAATTGCAAAACCAACAGTTGCAACTATTACAAATAATCGTTATCTATCAATAGACAATAGACAATATAGACAAGTTTATTAGTCATTAATTAATTGCACCGGTAACAATTCTAATGACTTTTTATGCCAGTACCTACTCCATTACCCCAAATCACAATACTAAATCTTATGATGCTCTCAAAAAATGGAAAATAGGCTAATTTCAAATAGCTATTAGTAACACGATTCC